GGGAGGTGGGTGTGCCATAGGGGGAGAGTGAGCCCAGACCCCAAGCAGCAGGCAGGAAGGGGGAGTGGGCCCAGATTGGGGGGGAAGGTTTGTCCCTGCCTGCTCCCCTCCACCCCCCTCATTTTTGATGGGTAGTTGGCTAATTATTATAGATTAGCAGCAATTCAAAAGACCTGTGACTCCCATTGTGGTTTGTGAGGCAGTAAAACCTGACTATTAGGACTTTGTGGTAATGGTAGACGCAGAACTCTGGTCCTACTGCTTCTAAACCCTGCTACTTGAATTAAAGGATAAATATTTTTTAGTTGTTAGCCAATATCCAATAACTGTATCCAGGTTAACAGCCAACAATAATATCCACATTACCATTTCCAACTTCACTCACAAGATGACAATAAGGCCTCTTCTACACATACAGATTAAGGCACGATTGTATCTAAGGCATGGTCCACACAATCATGCCTCCTGCCATGCTACATGGCAGGAGGCATGATTGTGGGGTTGCACATTAGATGTGATCATGTCTTATTGCCCATGCAGGGAGAGCCCACTCCTGGGCTCCCCCTGCACTAGCAAGAAGCAGGCTCCCATGGGCTCCTAGTCCCAGCTGTGCCATACATGAACCACAGCCGGGACCAAGAGCTCTTGGCCCCAGTTGTCTCTTGTGAAGTGCAGCTGGGACTGGAAGCCCTGTCAGTTGTGGGACACACAGTCCCAGCTGCTCCTGAGACACAGCTGGGACCCAGAGCCGCACGTGGGCTGGGGGTTTCATGCACCCCCTTGCTTTAGGGATCACAGCACCTGCAATCCCCAGGGCTTGGAGGTTTCATGGTGGGCAACATGCACCCCTGCAGCTGAGAGCCCTTTCAGCTGAAGGGGCCCCCAGCCACAAGGGAGATGTAGCTACATGTGCAAATTAAAGCACAGTAGCAACCAGCTATAATGTTAGTATGCATTTTTAAGGTCCAACTTCAAGGTTGTAGCTTTTTTTTATGATGTGATAGCTACTTTGCACGTGTAGCTGGTCTCCAGGTAATTGCACAGTTAACCAGGTAATTAACCAGGTATCTGTGGAATACCTATAATGTGTAGAGGGGACCTAAATTTATATAGTAGCCAGTTCAATACTGCATTTTATTTTCATCCATATTAATCAAGTTTTCCATATCAGGATGTTGGAAGGTTGTCAAACACAGAGTAAGCTGTCAAACACAGAGCTCTGCAAAAGCATCTGTCCTGACTGACAATCACCCCTAATCATCCACCCAGTCTAGGATTTTCTTGAGCAGACAGTCTACTGTGTTGGATTGGATAACTTGTTTTTATTCTACAGAAAAAAAATCACTTAACTAAGATATGACTACCAAACTCATGTTCATGTGACCTAAGCCAGGATTTGAATGCAGAGGTGAAGGGCTAATGCATTAACCTAGTTCTCTACCAAGCATTTTTTTCCTTTGTGCCATCTGAAAATAGTTAAATAACGATTTTAATTAATTGATTCATATCAGCAAGACCATTCAGACAAAGAAACATAAGTGAAATCAGTCTTATGAAAAATAGAAAAGTATAAAGAATTCTTTAATGACAAAGGAAAGTGTGAATAATACGACTGCTGTATTAACTGGATTACAATTTCAGCCTAGATATTGATTTTCTTTTTTTTGCCCTACTTGAGAACTATTGATCACAATTTTAGTCAGACTGTAAAGGTATCACATTTCCCACTTAGGCAGTCTAAGATTTAACCATTGATGATCATTTGAACAATTTGGTGTACTCTAGCTAAAGCTCTTTTACTCTAATGCATAGCCAATTAGCCCTAGTCTACTGGACATTGCAATGTGCTCTTCTTTTGTATTTCAGGCAAAAGCCAATCTTCAGGTTCCATATGTTTTCCATGGTGCACTCATGCCATCATTAGGTTAGGAAGACAGAATCTTAGGAGCTTCTAAAGACTGCATGCGGCTTTGAGCCTGAGCCCCATTCTAACAACAACTAGTCTAATAAGCTGTTTACAGACATGAAACAAAAAGAAAAGAAAAAACAGTGTTTTACTTTAAGCTCAGTGTGTCCCCGCACCAAGTGCAGCATATGCCCAGAAAAGGCATCGTGTTACTTTGACCCAGTTCACCCAATGTCTGTATAGACCGTGCGCTTCATCAGGCTCCTTGGCCCTTTTATCTAATAGCTGATTTAATCAGCTATTAGATAAAAGCACTAAAAAGCCCTGCTGAAGTGCCCAATCTATACAGCTGCTGAGGAGCTGGGTCAAGCTAACACACTTCCTCTTCCAGTAAATCGCTGGGTTGTTTTTTTCATGGCTGTCATGAGCCATAGCACCTAACTGAATAATCCTGATTCCCACTAGGTTTCTGGAATAGCTGTTCTCAAGAGTCAATTCTGAATCCTACATCCATGTGGAGAATATTTTTAAATGTACTTACTGACATTCGTTAATGTTAGTAATTTTTAATGATAACTTTTTTTCTCTTTTCTTCTCATTGCAGTACCCATTTGAACTAGGTCTAATAGCAGCATTTGTATTTTCTACCTTAGTGGGTCTCAGCAGAATTTACACGGGAATGCACACTGTGCTGGTAAGGAAAAAGATGAACTACAGATCTTTCTTACATTGGTGCCCATCACCATGTTGCCTAAACTTATCTTAAATACTACTCTACTTCCCTGCCAGCAGAAGGCAAGCTTAGAATTCTTTGTACAAATAGAAATTTCTATCTATCAATGCACATGTTTTGTGAGGTCACTCCACAGATGGTACTTTTATGGGAAGACTAGAATGAACAGGTGGATTGGTATCTATTTCAGAATATGGAAAGGTGAGAATCTTTTTGAATTGCTGCTGAGTTCTGTCGTCTTGTCCCTGCTCCAGTGACTTTTTGTCAACCACTGTTAGAAGCCTCTCCCTCATGGTAAACAATTGCATTGTCCCAGAGGAAGGTAACTATAGGCCAGCCCAGTGGTGCTCAGCCTATCTGGCCTCATGAGCCAAATGAATATCGTGCAGCTGGTCCATGGGTTAGATGACTGGGCACAACACCAGCCCATGGGCAAGATCCCACACGTGGGGTTAATCTGTGGAATTGATCCAGCATGGGGTCAGTTTGTAGGTGTGACCTTGCATGCTGGCCTGGTCTTGTGTGCCTCATCTGATTATGGAACAACCCTGTGCACCAGCTCAATCCCATGTGCCAGTGGAATCTGGCATATGGAGGCCATGTAATTCCACCCATGGTCTGGAAATTTGGATACAGTAGCAGCTTTAATTGTTGTGGCTCTGGGCTCTGCCGTAGCAATTAACACTGCCACAGCTTCCCTGCTGCCAAATTTTCAGATCTGTGGGGACCGCTGCAGACCAGATGACACAGCTTCATGGGCTGGTTCCTGCCTGCAGGCCACAGATTGAGCACTACTAGACTAGTCCAGTTCCTAATACTGTTAGTGTCAACACCAGTCAGCGTGACTTCCCCATATACAAATGTTCATTTCTTGTCAATTCAATTGCTACAAATCCATGAAACTGATAATTTAGCAATAATGACACACATACCAAACTCCTTTCCAAATGTCTTACATTACCATCCAAATGTCTTAGACCCTCTCTCTACAAGAAAATTCTTTGAATATAAGCAACTGTAATATAGATGTAGTTCCTTGCAGTAACACTCAGATGCACATCCTTAAATTCTGGCCTTGTTCTTTTTCATGTATAAATTATGATAATTTTTACTCTCTTCTGTGTTTAGAGGGTGTATATATTTTCTGTATTTAATTAGCTCATTTCAGGGGCAAACAACCAGGACAATTGTTGAGGGCTCCACTAGGTTAAATTGGTGCATATTTCCCAATGATGGGGTTGGAGGATAGAGAGACCTTGTATCCGTGGACCCCACAAGCCAAATGTAGGTCTGAGGCTGTTTGTGTGCAGTGCTGGTAACTGTATTAATGTTCTTTGGTAGTTCAGATATTTAACTAGAAGGGAAGTTGTTGTATAATCGAACAGTCTGTCAAGGTGTTGGGATACAAAATTCAAGTGCAATTTTTAAATCTTGGTTAAATTGTCTTATGTTCTTAAGTATTAATGATTACATTAAGGGGAAATATGATTGAGCAACTTAAATGCAGTGTACCACAGATATTTTTTGCCTGTGATAATATCCAGAAATATTAGACATTGGTTTAGTTATGAAGTATATATGATAAGTAGAAATATTGAGTCAGTGATGCATGTTAGGCACAAGTAGCTGGCAGAACTTGACACCTAGAACTGAAGCTAAATTATGTAATGACAAATAAGGGGGCAGCTATAGAGACACTCTAGCCAGGTGCCAAAGTGTCTTTTTGGAGGACCCAGCCTCCCCGGTTGCTTCAGGGCACGCTCCAGAAGCATGGCTTGCACCACTTTTTTCAGTAGGTTGTTTTTTTTAATATCTGGATTTCCACGTATTTAATTTAGAGTCCACACTGCAAATATGCAGCACGGGGAACAATTTTTCATTCCCATTGTGCTGCTTGCGGTGTCCTAAACTGCTTTGAGACATCCCAGTAAGCATGTGCATGGTCCTCTGGATGTACCCTAAGAGACTGAAAAATATTATGATCCAAGGGAAAGCTCAGAAACAACGTCTTTTTAAATGTGTGGGTTTTTTTAATCTGCCTGCTTTGACTAAAACTAATTATAGATAATTCAGTTACCCCTGTAGCAGTAGTTTGTTAAATATGAATAGCAGATTAATTTGCCTACATGGATTCTATCCCTACACATTTCCACTATGGAGTATTCTCATAATGCAAGGAAGGTTAATTGATATTTTCTATAGAGCAAGGAGAAGTGTGAAGTAGTTTCCGAAACATGAAATTCAGTGAGTAAAAGCAGTTTACAGCCTTTGTATGCTATTCACAATATATGCTGTTCAAATATATATCATGATCAATGGTATATAAGGAAATATTATAGCAGCTGTAATGAATGAATTACTTACTATATTAGATGTAATGAAGAAATCTGTAAAATATGGCCTTACCAACCTTTCAACCCTACTGGCTCAAAACAATGTCTTAAGTCTAGACTGGAGACATTCTATTTTTCTAACCAGTGACCTAAGCCAGTCACTAAAAATGTTTAGCTTATTCCCCTTAGCATTCATGATGATGAAAGAGACCTCTTTATATTTAGATGGCGTTTGGGGTAAAAAAGATTCTTGTGTCCCTCTCTCTCAGCTTGCCTCTAAATTCCCAAATGCCTTAAATCCTGCTTTTTCACCAGGCCAATTAAGGGCTTTCAGTAAGGAATGACCATCTGAAAAATGCCATAGTAGGGCATGAAAATATACTGAATAATTATTTCACAAGTTTGCCTCTTTTCATGTTTACAAATTATCCAAAATGTATTTAGAATTTATTCATTTAAGCATTGTTTTGCCAAATTTTTAGGAATAGTTTTCAACTGAAAATTCTCTTTCTCAGTGCCTCACCCGTACTACTGCCAAGCTCATTGCAATTATTCAGTGTTTTCAATTGAAGCTGTAACAGTTTGGACACCAGTATCAGTGGTCACATCTCAGTTTAGAGTTTACCTTCTGCAAACATTTTGCCCAATTAAATTATTCATTAAAATATTGACAGAAATCTAGCACCTGTACTAAATATTTCAAATGAGCAAATAAGTCAACAAATGCAATTTTAAAACAGCAAGAATATTGTATTCTAAGGTATAGTTAGTGTGATTATTTGAGTTTTGTTTAATTGTTTAAATCTTCCTGATATAGTAGCAAACATTACATAGTACAGTCTGCAAAAGCTAAGTTTAATGTTTGAACTACACTTGATAAGCTTTACTGCTACAACTGTTTGGAGGTGTCTATCCCTGCCAAAGCCTACATCACCAATACGATTATTCTTCCATATGGGAATAACTATCCTAGTGTGAAGTAGCTTTTTACTGATATACCTGCATCTGCACGGGGTGGAAAGTTACATGACTGTGTATTATTAAAGTGATACATAAAAGAAGATGATGTACAGAATTCTCTTAAACCTTTGTTAAGAAGTGAGGAGATGCCATTATTTTTTCAGGTTGTAAAGAGCTAACAGAGTAGGAATTAATGAGGTTCTGCATGTAATTCAGAATATCAGTCACAGACACAATGAGAAGTATTAAT